CAGCGCCTCTTTCAGAGCGAGATATCCTTCTCAATTCACCTATGGCCATGTGCTTTTCGGTAGGCCGCCTCCCAGAGCTGTGTTGTGTGTCAGTGGGATCAATGGGCTCGGTTGTGGGGATATATAGGATTCTTTTCTCACTGTAGCCCATGTTTTTAGTGTTTGTGTTACGGGTGAGTTCCTACTCATATTTGGTATTTCTCCTCGAGCTTGGTGCCACACTAGTGAGTGGAGGGTACCGTTCATGCTTTCCCTGTCCAGGTTTGCCCATCTTTTGTGATTCGGGGCTGTGTGCAAGTCCCTTATCCGCTGTAGGACAGCGGCGTGGTAGTATTTTCGTTGGTCGGGCAGTGCTAGTCCGCCCCATGATTTGGGTAGGCATAGTTTATCATGGCTGAGTCTCGCCTTGCACCCTTTCCAGACATAACTGCCGATCGCTGATTTTATTGTTGCAAAGAAGTCTGGTGGTATATGCCATGGTATGGTGTTGAAATAGTACAGGAGTCTAGGTAATATATTCATCTTCACCACCGCTATTTGTCCCTGCCAGGAGATGTAGTCATGATTCCACGATTTCAGATCTCTTTGAATTTGTTGAAGGAGCGGGGTGTAATTCCTTGTGTATATTTCCGTTGGTCTGCGTGGGATCCATATTCCAAGGTATTTCATCTGATCTTCGCAGCATGTGAAAGGGAAGTTCCATTTGATCTGGTCCCATTCCGGTGTCGGGGTCGAAACTTGTAGTATTTTGCATTTCGTAAGGTTCAATTTGAGCCCTGATGCTCGGCCATAGGTTTCGAACTCCTCCATTAATGCAGGTAGCATATGCATTGAGTTGTTTACGTAGAAGAGCATATCGTCAGCGTAAACTGCCACCTTGTGTTCTTGTTCTTTATATCAGAGTCCATGGATGTTGGACGTTTGTCGGATCTTATCTAGGAATGGTGTTAGAGCGAATAGAAGTGGGATAAGGGGCATCCTTGCCTGGTGCCGTGGATGGCGAAGCTGGTTGTGAGTGCTCCGTTGACGCGTATCCTCACGTTTGGATTGCGATACAGTGTTTCAATCCACATGAGCATCCCTCTCCCCAACCCTATCTTGGTGAGCGTTGCCATCATGAAGTGCCACTTTACCCGGTCAAACGCCTTTTCTGCGTCTGTGGAGACCAATAGCATGTTCTTGTTTTCCTTTTGTGCTAGGTGTTGGATAGTAAACGTCCTCACAGTGCAGTCTCTGGCCTCTCTCCCCGGTATGAAGCCCATTTGGTCTGGATGGATCAGCCTCGGGAGGTAGGGTTGTAATCTATTTGCTATAATCTTAGTGAATAGTTGGATATCCGTGTTAAGGAGCGAAATAGGGTGGTAGTTGCTGCAGCATTCTGGGTTCTTACCTGGTTTGGGTATGACTGTAATGGTGGCGGCCATTGTTTCCACGTGGAGCCCGTCTCCTTTCTGCAGTTGGTTTAGTGCAGCGGTCAGTCGGGGAATCAGGATGTCACCGAATTTCTTATAGTATCCAGCCGGAAATCCGTCTGGACCGGGTGCTTTGCCATTCTTCGTCACCTTAATTGTCAGTCTGACTTCCTCTTCAGATATCGGCACTTCGAGTGCTTCCGCCTTCTCTCTCGTTAGCGCCTCTGGTTGGAATCCTTGTAGGTATTGCTCCGCTGCTCTGGTAGCTGCGTCCTGATTCCCGGCAGTTCGATCCGCGTGGATGTTATACAGTGTCGTGTAATACGTGCGGAACTCCTCTGCTATTTCTCTGGGAATTGTGTGAGGCGTCCTCTTGAGGTTCGCAGTGTTGGTACCTGGGCTCTTGTTTGCTGCCCTCTTATCATCTGTGCTAGCAGTCTGCCGCTTTTATTAGCATGTATGTAATAGAAGGCCTTCGAGCGCTGTAGTGCTCTGTGGTATTTGCGGTCTATGAGTTCCGTAAGTTGTCTGTGCGCTGACAGGAGTTCCTTATAGTTGGTGGCCAATTGACTTCGCTTATGAAGGGTCTTGAGTTTCGCTATTTGGGTCGTTAGGTCTTCGATTGCTTTGAGGTTGTCCCGTTTTTTATGCGACGCAAGTCGTATAAAATGTCCCCTGAGTACGCTCTTATGAGCTTCCCAGAGTGTTATCTGTGACATGTCGGCTGTTGCATTCTCTTCGAAGTATTGGTTCAAATGTTCGGTCAGTTGTGATTGGATTGCCACGCTTAGGAGGCGCGATTCGTTCATTCTCCATGACGTTCTAGTGGGCTTGAAGAAGGGGGAGTCTAGGTGTATGGAGGTTTTGCTCTGGTCCGCCCATGGGGTCGGTCTGACTTCGGCGTTTTGTAGGTGTGTGAGTCCCTCTTGTTGGATGAAAATGTAGTCAATGCATGAGTATCTCCTGTGGAGGGTCGAGTAATGCATATAGTTATGGCCTTCCGGCTGAAGTGCTCGCCACGCATCTACCAGTCTCACATCCAGCAGCGTTCTGCAGAGTTTTCTGATTGCTGTTTGTGCTACTGTGCTATGCCCGGTGGAGGTGTCTGCTATTGGGTCCAAAGGTAAGTTAAGATCTCCGCCTAGTATTAGGATGCCTTCTGTGAAGATTGCTAATTTCAGAAGCATTCTGCGTAGGAACTTGACCTGGTTTGTATTCGGAGCGTAAATTGAGGCGAACGTATAGGTTTTCTGGGAGATCGTTCCCTTCACAAATAAGTATCTTCCGTCTGTGTCTTAGAGCGTTTCGGAGTGTGAGAATTGTAGGTTGGTGCTTAGGAGAATTGAGACTCCAGCTTTTCGTGTGGTTTGGTGGCTACTATGGTAGGTGGTTTCGTAATGTTTGTTTTGTATTCTGTGAGTGTCGATGTCTCTGCGGTGCGTTTCCTGTAGGAGGGCTATAGATACTCGACGTCACTTTAAGTCTTGTAGGAGGTGAGATCTTTTTTTCCGGGTGAGTTCAAGCCTCTACAGTTTTGTGTAATTATATGGAAAGGTGCAGGTGTGTATGCCATTTGGTGTGGGTGGGTTGGTTGTGTTGTTCTGTCGGGACGGGGATGGGGAGCAAGGTATGGATTAAGAGTGGGGATGGATATTAAAAGGTGTTATAGGGTTTGGTAGGGTTTTAGGAAGGGTTACCCCAGGGCTCCCGTGTTCGCGCCCTGCGTCCGCCTATCTTCCATCTCCGGTTCCCTGGAGGTCTCTTGTGGGTTGTGCTGGTAAATTGTGCCTGTTGTGGGTTTGTGCTTTGTCGCCTGGTTTGTTTCGTGGGTGTCTGGGGTATTAGTCCCTGTAAGGATAGGGTACCTGTGTAACCGGGTTGGATGGCAATGCCGAACCTCCACTTAGTGTAAACTAGGGCAGCAAGGCAGTGTTCCCCTCGGTAGTCTGTGTCTACACAGGTTTAGGTCGGGGTCGTGGCCTCCCGTTTGATTCGTATACCACCAGAGGTGTGGTGGTGTGTTTGAGTGAAGGGGGTTGGTTTAAGTATACCTGTCTCTGTGGGTTGTCTGTCTCGTTGATGATTGGTTGCATGTTGAACACTAAGGCTCAGTGAGGCGGTCTTGAGGGTTTAGTGTGGGTACGATTGAGAAGTCCGTATGGTGGAGTCCCGCATTAACAGTGATTTGGAGTGTAGCTTTGGGTGAAATCTCCCGGTCTTAGTGACTTTCTGTGGCGGTTCAGTCTGGGTATGTTGCGTGTGTCCTCCTGTGCATGTGGTCTCTTTTGCTGGTTATGTCTAGCTGTTTGGGCTTGGTTTTGTTGTGGCTGTAGTGTCCCGTCCCTTAAGTCGTCCCCATTCTTTAGGTTGTACTGGGTCTTGCTTCCGCGATGTCTCTTGGGGTAAGGGGCGATAGGGTCGGGGGCTCGTGGAGGTCCGAGGGTTCTCTTGATCTGCCTAGTGTCTCAGAGTGCCCTAGGATGGCTGCACTATCTGTGGTCTCTATTATCTTGCTATTTCCCCTGTTTTTATCTGTAGTGGTATTTTCCCATCCTTTCCCTACTTTTGGTTGTGGTTCCCGCCCTCTCCCCGCCTTCCCACCTCCTCCTCTGCCCGTTCCGTCCTTAGGTGCTTCAGCAGTGGTCAGTCTCCCAAGTTTCCCTCCCATGTTCTGTCATTACTTTTTGCTCTCATGGGGGTCTCTAGGTTGTGCTTATGTGGGGGTCTTCACGGGATATTATTATTAAAATCAACATGGAAGTCAGATATTGCGATGTGTATGGAGGCACCGTCGTCAACAGGCCTATACTCCTGCCAGGAGCTAGGCAGGGGAGGGGACACATTTCTTTGCTGCCTATGGAGCAAGTTTTAGTCATTATACCACGCTCTTTACGTTATTATAAACAACGGGATGGCATGATGACTAGCCTATGGATTCGCAAGACATATTTCAGTTACATGTTTAGTTATTAGTACACATACATCGGCAAACTAGGGGGGGTTTGGCTGGCCCATTAGCAGTGTGCTACTGCCATCCTAATGTCAGTGGAGCTACTTGCGGTCCTTGTGGGTTCCCCTAATGTGTGCCATGTCAAACCATGTAAACTTCAAACCTTATAACTTTAAACCATTAAAACATCAAAGTATTAGCTACTTTAGTCCCTGACCCCGTTCCCTCCGGTATGAGCAGTGTCCATGTCTTACGCCTCCCCCTCTTACCTGCAGTCCCCCCACCCCAAGTGCAGTATAGTTCCTTTAGGTTTGTGAGACTTCTTTCACCATCTTTAACCCCTACCCTTTAGTCCCTTGCTCAGTGCATGCAGTGTGGTTAGTGTATCACTTATCTGGATTCCTGGTGATAGTTGCGTCCGTCTGGCATCTACATTTCTCGGGTATGTAGGGTTGTCTGCAGTCTTTCGAGGGGGGGGGTGTTTGTAACGGGGAGGGGGTTCATTTCTGACTTTACTCCTCGGGTTCTGTTGGGTCAAGGTGCCTGCGGGCGTTGGGGCGTCTTGGCGATTCTTCCCTACGGCATCGCTGCTGTCGTGGCATTTGGGGTCTTGGTCTCTGTTCCAAAGGTCCGAGGATTCAATCTGCTATTTCAGTGGGTGGTAGGCCCATACAGCGTAAAAATCCCGGGCTCTCCTCCGGCCAGCGCAGGGGCACCCATTCATTTTGGTGTCTTGCAAGTAAGGCAGAAGGGAACCCCCATTTATAGGGGATGTTCCTCTCTCTGAGAAGTGATGTTATGGGGCGCAAGGCTCTGTGGGCATCAAGTGTGAGTAGTGATAGGTCTTGAAATAAGGCCATGTCTGCACCGTGGAATCTCCATAGCGGACTGTGCTTGTAGTTGTGCAGGCAGCAGATGACATCACGTGGGGTGCTGTCTGCCAGCCTGGGTCTGTTAGCTCTATGTGCTCGGTCAAATGTTAAGGTATCTGGCATGTCAGCTCCCAGTATTTCTCGAAAGAGGGCCTTCAACGTGGCCTCCACATCTTCCTCGGTGGATGGTTCGGGAAGTCCGCGCACGCTGATGTTTGAGCGGCTGCTCCTATTGTCTAAGTCCTCTGTCTGTCTTCGGAGGGCCAGTAGCATGTACCCCTGTCTAGTGGTTGCAGTGGTGTTGGTTCCTGCCCTCTCTGCCGTCTCTCGCACCGTTTCCTCCAGGGTTTGGAGTCTGCCGCCATGCGCTTTGATCTCGGACCGCAGGGCCGCCACCTCAAAGCGGATTGCGGCATGGAGGTCGTCCGATAGGGTCTGGAGGTCATTTTTAGTGACCATCTGGGATGCCAGTGCCCTGATGTCCGCACTAATGTCGTTGAGCATGGGGTTTTACGCCTCCATGGGCCGTGAGCGGGATGGGGAATCGGCCCTTTCTGGGCCCATCTGTCCGTGTGGTGTGGCTGCCGGAGTTTGCAGGTAGCCGTCCATGGGCCCCGCTTGTGAGTTGGTGGGGTTGCTCCGGGGTGTCTGGGAGATTATGGGCGTTTTGTGTGGCCCACATTGCGCCCTCGCTAGTCTCTTAGCGTGCTAATTGTGGCTACCTGAGATGGAGCTCTCGGATTAGGCTGCCATGTTTCTCGGCGGTCAGGCCACGCCCCGTACTTTTTAAAATCAAATTTTATCTTCAGTTTAATTATGATTTTTACAAAATATATGTATATGCTGCAAAGTCTTATGAATTGTATTTAACTAGCATTCTATGTATTAATTCAATATTACACAGATAGAATTAGCATATGGCAATCAAAATTCTGCAATAATTATAACATCATCATTTAAATATGCATTATAAATTGCAATACCAGTATTTTGCCATTTAGCATCCCTAATTTATTATTTACATGTGTAGGAATTAAATTTTAAGTTAGTTTTTTATGTAATAGATCTTTTTATGTAAGAGATCTTATTCTCTTAACTGTTTTTTTCCATTAGTGCTTACAAAAATTAATGTTGTATAATTTACTGTGAAAATGAACCAAAAGATTGATTAAGTATGGACTAAACTATAAAGGGTTAATATAAGCCAGAGGGGTTTTGGCTATTTAAACCCGTGAGATTTACTTGCTCAGCATCCTCTGATGAAGTGAGCAATAGACTCACGAAACGCGTAAGGACATTTTTCACTACTTTCTGGCACCTACCGTAAACACAACCGGGCTATACTTGGAACGCAGAAGGATCGGTGACACGCACGCAGCTCTCAGCTAGTCCATTCATCCGCCGGCAGGACGATAATACAGAACCAGCTGCCTACACCATACTTTCCTGACTCCAGTACAGCACGAATAGTTTTTACCAATTGTGAGTGCAATTTTTAATTATGTGTTCAATAAGTTTATTTTAATACAGTAAGCACTATGGATCTTGAACTCTGTTTCTTTCAGAACGGAGGGATCTTTATTTAACTACAGGTCACTTATCATGATCTGCTAGTTACTATATTTTAACGTTCAAGACAAGTACATTATTATTTATCACATTGCTGGACCTGCAAGGACATTATATTAATATTGTACCATATAAATCCAGCTAATCCAGTATACAAATCCCAGTTTGATCATAACTGGAAATAACTGAAATAGCTTACAAAGTAATTGACTGTTGTTAATTTTTATTTGACTAATACAATTGTATCCATTCAGAGACTTTTATATATTGGACTTAAGCAAAATCTGAGTTAAATGTAGTAATATGTTTTAACCATTGAATGCAAGCTATATGATGTCTTTTTAGCATTGCAACAAATAAGATTTAACATTTAAAGGTATACACCACTCCTGAATCTACATCTTTTTTCTAATATTTTTCTTTCTTTAAATTAAATATAGTATATCTTGTGCCTGGAGTGTCCTTTTTACTCTGTACCAATCAAATTATTTTTTACAAATTTTCATTGGCAAACTCAGACCTTTAATAACCTTGTAGCTCCTCAAATTGTTGTTTGTCCTTCTAGTTTCTTCACTAAACCAGGAATTGTGGTGAAGAGATGAGGGAATAGAAATATTTATTGCAAAATAGTATAAGTACCTTGTCACTTCTCCACAATTCCTGGTTTCAGAAATCAACCCCAATGCATAAAACAGATGGTCGCTTCTCAGCATTGTCCGGGTACATGTATACACATCTGGTTGGTTTGAAGTGGTTGTTTTATCCTGAAAATGCAGCATCAATATTTTATGATCACATTGCAGGCAGTGGATCTTATTAGTGCCAATTCTTTCATAAATCTGACTTGGTGTTGAAGATATTCTTTCATCTATACATTTCAGTTCCCAAATTATTAAAAAATTAAGAAATAGGGGGCGTGGCCTGCAGCCGGAGCAAGATGGACGTGTCCAAGTGAAGCTCCGCTAGGACCACGAGGCCAATTGCTAACTAAAGCCTAGAAACGCTTACCCGACTCAGGTACCTTGTTAGGGAGACGGTATGGAAAAACGTGCCCCGAAGAAACAGCCCAAGAGGCCGGCGGAACAGGGAGCGACGGTGTCCGACTTGTTTGCTGCCTCCCGCGCCATGAGATCAGGCACCCAAGATGGCGGACGGGAGAGCCCGATGGTGCCTCGCTCGCCTCCCAGCCCAGGCGCGGTGGCGGCCCCGGATGTTTCTGAGGCCAACACTGCTCAGATCCTGGCTAAGTTGGCAGAGGTCCGAAGTTACCTGGCAGCCGAGATCACCAGGAACACCCACGAAGTTAAAGCCGAGATTCAGGCTCTGGGGGCGAGGACGGCGACGCTTGAGCAGCGAGTGGAGTCCACTGCCGTGGCCCACAACGCTGCCACAGCCCAGATTAATCGGCTCTCCACTAGGCTAAATACTGTGGAATCTGCCCTGGATGATCTGGGAAACAGGTCCCGGAGGAACAACATCAGGATCCGGGGCCTCCCTGAACAAGAGGGGGAAGGTCTGCTGATGGAAGTGGTGTCCAAGATCCTCAGGCCCTTGCTGCCCGATGTGCCGGACCACCAATGGCACATAGAGAGAGCGCACAGGGCCCTCAGGGCGAAACGGGCGAATGATTCCCGCCCGAGAGATGTGATTGTTAAATTCCTGTTTTACAGGACGAAGGAAGCCCTGATGCTGCGCGGCAGGGAAGGCCCTATTCGATACGGCGGGGCGGAACTTAACCTGTTCCATGATTTAACTCCGACTACCCTCCAAAAGCGGAGGCTGTGGCGCCCGGTGACGGGGCTTCTGCAGAAACATGGGGTGAAATATGCCTGGGGCTTCCCGTTCAGGCTGCTGGCCTTTAAGGATGGAAGCACTAAAATCCTTAATGCAGATGGAGACACGGTGGACTTCCTGAAGGGCCTTGGTATACAGGACCCTTTACCGTTGATGGAGCTCCCCCAGGCTGAGGAGATGCTGTCTCCCCTCCCCCGCGAGTGGTACGAGGTGGGCGACTGAGGCTTGCGGATTTCGGATGGCCCGGCTGCACGGGGAGTCGGCTGGAAGGGAATCACGCCAGCTGGGAGTCTGGGGGAGGGTATGTAGGCTGCGTATGGGATGGCGGGTTTTGGGGCCTGGCCTGCTAAGAGGTGCCCTCATAGGGGCTCAGTTTTGGGAGCGGCAGTTAAAGCTGCAGGGGTTATTCCCGGGTCTTGGTGTGCTTGGGGAGGGTACACTCTCCTTATTGGGTGGGCTAGGGATGTTTCGTTTTGTTTTGCTTCCCCCCTTTTTTTGGGGAGGCAGTGATGGGTGGGGTCGCTGCTTCTTTGTGTGGGTGGCGGGGCTGTTGGGAGACGGGAGGAGGGGGTTTTTTTTTTGTTTGGTTTTTTTTGTGTTTTCTTTCCCGTTGCTTCTCCCTCATGCCGCCTCGGAGTGGGCCACGGATCTTCTGCGTACTGCGGCATTGACTCCTCCTGAAAACTTGTTCACGTTAATTAATGTGTTTGAGCGGGGAGTGGGGGGGGGCGGATGCCTGGTTATTCATTCTTGCTTTATTGTGTACTCATGTTGGGGCCCTGAGAGCGCTACTTTTAGGGTATGTTTGGAATACCGTCGGGGTCGGGGGGTGGTGGCTTGCGTTGGGAGGCTGGTATCGACTGCCCTGCTAGGCCCGGTGTGGATCCTTCCTCTGGGCCGGTGGGGTGGGTCGTGGGGCACCCGGATAGACCCCCGGTGGTCGGTGCCATGACGGGGGGATGGAGGGGGGCGGTAGCAGGGAAGGGCCTTGCGATTGGGGCTTCCCTCTTTCTTGTCTCCCTGTTGGTGGGGGGGGGCATCGGGGAGGTATAGATTTATATATGTGATAATGAGTTGGGTACTCCTTTATTAGATGGCGTCATGCACTCCCGCTTCCTCCTACCCGTTGGCTTTCATATGACCGGCTCCCTGTCTGACTGTGGCCCCTAGGGAGTGCCCCTATATGCCGGGAGACGTCATTCCCCACTTCTTTAAGTTCTTTATGCTTTTTAAGTAAGCGGGCTCTTTGTGTGTTTAAATGTATTGTATTAGGGGGTGTTGTAGAACTGTGTCTCTTCCGTGTCCCTCGTGTTGTTGCATTGTGACCCCTCCCCCCCCCTCTGGGTTTCTGGTGGGGTGCGGGGGGGGGTGAGGAATTAATCTGAAGTGGGGTGGAGGAGGGGAAGAGTTGGAGAAATGTAGTGAACTGTATTTGATACTCCGCCCCAGCATCCACAATTGCGCCCTTCGCTATATCCCTCACAGCAACCTTTTCCACTTCGCACTGAGACTCAGGTTAGAGCATGTTTTGTTATAATTGTGATGAAAACGGCACTCTGGTAGTGCCTTTATTGGCTGGTCCATGTCCCTAACACCCCAGGGGTCTTTTGTCATTCTGGGGATGTCGGGACATTTACCCCAACTACGCCTGGCGATAGGTAAGACCAGGCGATACATGTACAAAGTTTTTGTTATTTTTCTTTTCTTTGCTTTTACTTTTTTTCTGTCTTTATTCCCTACTACTCTTTTTTCTTCTACATTTCCTCGGTGGGGGGGGGGAGTTGATGGCGGCCCAGACTTGTTTTAATGCGTGTAGACGTATTGCAAAGCTTACATTCAGAGTTATCCTACAAGATAGATCATGCCTGTGAAACTAATATCCCTTAATGTTAAAGGCCTAAACGCCCCGAATAAGAGACGGCTTATGTTTCGGGAGCTCAGACACATGAACCCAGACATCGCCTTCCTGCAGGAGACACACTTGCCGAAATCGGCGAAGTTTGCTCTTAAGGATCATTTATTCAGGAATACGTACGAAGCCAGGGCCCTCAATAAGAGGAATGGTGTCGCCATTCTCGTGCATCATAGATGCCTGTTCAGAGTTAGCAAGGTTTGTACGGACCCGGGTGGGCGCTACATTCTGGTGTCGGGGACATTGCATTCTCAGGTTATGCATTTTCTCAATGTCTACGCCCCTAATGAGCCATCCAGTGAATTCTGGGCGGAACTGACGCGCATAGTGCTCACGCTGCCACACGGCATCGCTGTGGTAGGGGGCGACTTTAATGCTGCTCCGACCCCGGCAATGGAGAGGGGGCTGTAGCGGAACGCCAATAATAAATCCACGAATTCCGCTGGTTCTGAAACGAATCCACAGTCAAGCGCTGAAACAACAAGGCAATATCCCCAACCTCCCAATAACCGGACGAGACACAGTTTTGGGAGTCAACTGAAATCCTTTTAATCGGCAGGACAATTTATACAAGTCCCCATGCAAGGGGTTTCCTGAGTCCCTCCCCAGGGGCACTCCCAGAGGGGACTACATGGGGGACTTACATGACAACATATTTCTCCCATCAGGCACCGCTGCACGAGAGGGATCATCCTCCCAGAATGCACCGTTAAGGGGATTATCCCCTCGTGCAGCAGAACCGGCAATTCACATAAAAATCCATAACTGGTTAAATACACGGTGGATTTACACGAATCGACGTTCGGTAGATAGCTGGGGTCTGAGCGCATCATTCGTGAGATTACCGCTCAGATCCCAGCTAAAATAACCGAACGCCGCACAGAAAACACATTTCTTATAAAACATACGAAAAGGACCGATTACTTCTAGTGAACACGATCCTGAAACTCCCGAACGTCCTGGAGGCTCAGCGGTGTTCGTGCCATCGAATAGCTATTGGTAATACTATGCGTTCGACAACTCGGTCCCGCTGAGAACAAAGGATCCAAGATGGCCGACCGCCGCATGGTCGGTAGTCGAACAACGGCCACCCAGGAGAGCCTCTAATAACTGATTGCAACAATGTTGCCATCGGTTAACTAGCGCCACACGCCTCTAAGTGTGTGGGCTATTAGGGGGTATCGCGTTCGGTTCACGAACGGCTTTCTAAAGTGCCGTTCGAGAAACGAAAGAAAATCCCCATACAAAACCGCCATTTGCATTCGGCGGAAACAGCAGTACAGGCAATACAGAAAATACATTGGCATATACATAAGTGTAAAGCGCATATCTCACCAGACTTATTGGCAACCCTTAAAGGCACAGTCTCTAGTTATAGTCCAAGTGGCTAGGTTTGCCACAATGCTCCCCCAGAACCAAGCCGGCATACACAGTCTGATCCCAACGGATCGGCTTGGGGATGTCCGGAGGAGTGCTCACAGATCATTTCTCAAGGTCTGTTTGTCTGGACAACCCGTCGGCGTTACCGTTTTGTTTCCCTGGGCGATAATGAATTGTAAAGTCAAAGGGCTGCAGCGCCAAACTCCAGCGCAGCAGCCTGGCATTGTCTCCAGCCACACGGTTTAGCCACACCAACGGGTTGTGATCTGTGAGCAAAGAAAAGGGTTGCCCATAGAGATATGGCTGTAACTTTTTCAGGGCCCACACCACGGCCAGGCATTCTTTTTCTATGGCGGCGTAGCTCACCTCTCGGGGTAACAATTTCCGACTCAAGTATGCTACGGGGTGTTCTCCGCCATCGGCTCCGACCTGGCTCAGTACTGCTCCCAATCCAAACATTGAGGCGTCTGTGTGAACAAGAAAACGTTTAGTTGGATCAGGAGCAGCCAGTACAGGGGCATTGGTCAGAGCCGTCTTCAGTTGGTTGAATGCCTGTTCACACTCTGGGGCCCAGACGACCTGCCTGGGCAGGTTTTTCTTCGTCAAATCAGTCAGGGGTTTGGCCAGGGCACTGTAATTTGGCACAAATTTTCTGTAATACCCTGCGGTACCCAGGAAAGCAAGGACTTGGGTTTTGGTCCTAGGGGTAGGCCACTGGGCTACAGCGTCAATCTTTGCGGGCTCAGGCTTCTGTTGCCCGCCACCAACCCGGTGTCCTAAGTACTGGACCTCTGCCATCCCTATGTGGCATTTACTGGGTTTCAAGGTAAGCCCTGCCTCTCGAATCCGATCTATCACAGCCCCTATATGTTGTAAGTGATCCGACCAGGTCTGACTGTAGATGGCAATATCATCCAGGTATGCACACGCATAATCCGGAAACCCGTCCAGTAGCCGATCCACCATCCGCTGGAAGGTCGCGGGGGCGTTCTTCATTCCGAATGGCATGACTCGAAATTGGTACAAGCCAAACGGAGTGACAAACGCCGACTTGGGAATGGCGTCCTCGGCTAGTGGAATTTGCCAGTACCCCTTACAAAGATCTATTGTAGTGAGGTACTGACCCCTGGCCATCCTATCTAGCAGCTCGTCTATCCGAGGCATCGGGTAAGCGTCCGACACGGTTTTGTCGTTCAACCTCCGGTAGTCCACGCAGAACCGAGTGGTACCGTCTTTCTTGGGAACCAGGACTACCGGCGATGCCCAGGGGCTGAGTGTTCGATAACCCCCAACTGCAACATCTCTTCAATTTCCTTCCTCATATGTTCCCGCACGGATTCAGGAATCCGATATGGGGTCTGTCGCATGGGAAGCTGTCCCGGGGTTTCTACTCGGTGGGTGGCTAGTGGAGTGTACCCAGGTAGGTTAGAAAAGGTAGCGCCCTTTGCTGCTATCAGTTCTTGTACCTGGATACGCTCTTGGGGACTTAGCCGCTCCCCCAGCTGAACCCCCTGGGAGGGCTCCTTCTGCTCTTCCTGCTCTAACAGATCCGGGAGGGGCAGGTTCTCCTGATCTTCGGAGGCGGGCGTGCAAATAGCTGCTACGTCCTCCGCTCGCTCGTGGTAGGGTTTGAGCATGTTCACATGGAGCATGCGTCTCTTCCCTACTCCGGAGCATGGGCCGATCACATAGGTGGTGTCGCATCTCTGCTCTACCACCTGGTATGGGCCCTGCCAGACGGCCTGCAGTTTATCGGTGCGGACAGGTTTGAGGATTAACACCTTCTGTCCCACTTGAAAACTACGGTCTCTGGCTCCTCTGTCATACCAACGACGCTGCCGTTGTTGGGCGGCCTGGAGGTTGGTGCGCACTGCCTGGGTCAATTCCTCCAGGCGATCCCGGAACGCCAGCACGTATGGTACAATAGGGGTCCCATCTGCGCTACTCTCTCCCTCCCAATGCTCTCTAATGAGATCCAATGGTCCCCGGACCCTTCTCCCAAACAATAGTTCAAATGGGGAGAAACCCGTAGACTCTTGGGGTACCTCTCTGTACGCAAACAACAGATGGGGAAGGAATCGTTCCCAGTCCTTATGGGTCTCTACGAATGTCCGGAGCATCTGTTTTAGGGTACCGTTGAATCTCTCACATAATCCATTGGATTGTGGGTGGTATGCGGAGTTAATGATCGGCTTAATGCCACAGATCCTCCATAACTGCTGAGTAACCTCAGCTGTGAATTGGGTCCCCCTATCGGAGACCACTCGGGAGAATATCTTCATCAAGGCTTCGGATACGGTCTCAGCGTGTATATTAGTTAGGGCGATCGCCTCGGGGTACCGGGTGGCATAATCCACCACGGTCAGGATATACCGTTTCCCAGAGGGGCTGGGTTTTGGTAGGGGCCCTACTATATCCACTGCTACACGGCTGAATGGTTCCTCAATTATAGGTAGGGGACATAGTTTTGCCTTGTGGCGATCCCCCCTTTTGCCTACCCTCTGGCACACATCACAGGAGGTACAATATTGCCTCACATCTTTAGAAATCCCGGGCCAAAAGAAAGCGTGCGTTAAGCGATACCGGGTCTGGGTCATCCCTAGATGGCCGGACAGAGGGATATCATGGGCTATTCTCAGTAACTCCTGCCTATACTTCTGGGGCACTACTAGCTGCTTGGTTTGGAGCGTCACAGAGTTGCCTATTGCCCTTTCCGCCACCCGGTACAGTAACTTCTTTTCCCACAGGTACCATTCTCCCTCCCGCCCCACCTGGTCCGTGTCTACCCTATCTCGGTACACCTGCAGTGTGGGGTCTGTCTGAACCTCAGCTTCAAAAGTGGTCGGGGTGTCCCAAGTCATGTCTGTCAAGGGGGGGTCATGGTTTCTTACCTGAGCCTCAGAGTGTGCGGGGAATGCCGTGGTGCGAGCCTGTTGCCGGGTGGTTACCGGATGCGCCTCTTGTGAGGGGCCTGGGGTAGAAAAGCAGAAGTCATCTGGCCCAAGTCATTCCCCAAAACAACATCGGCCGGTAATTTCTTCATTATGGCCACTTCCACAACCCCCTCCCCAGCACCCCAGTTCAAATGCACCTTGGCCGTGGGTAACCGGTACATGGCTCCCCCTGCTACCCGGACTGCCACTGATCCGCCAGTGTGGGCCGTATCTGGAATTAAATGGGGGGCCACTAGGGTCAAGGTGGCTCCCGAGTCCCGCAGCCCCTGCACTTCTTTCCCTCCCACAAACACAACTTGGCGGTGATGCTGCCGGTTGTCCGTGGCTTGCACAGACATCACCTCATACAGAACCCCCAATGGTTCCTCAGTTGGTAGACTTGCCAGCTCCGAGTGGTCAGTTTCTGCGTGGTAGAAATGGGCCGCCGCCTTGGAGCGGAGTTTTGCCGTACCTGGTTCCACGCCTGCCTGCTCCGATTCTGGGTGCACTCCCGGGACATATGCCCCCACTGCCGGCAGGTATGGCATTGTATGTTGGCCCTGCCATTGTAGCGGGATGGCGGTGGGGGGTTTCCTGGTGGTGGCCTGAATGGAGTAGAGTTGGCGGGTGTGGAGATGGCTGGGTGGTGTGGTACAGCTGGTCTCAGGGGAGCCCTGTTGGGAAGCCCATGATGCCTCCTGGCGTCAAAATGCTGATCCGCCAACCGGGCGGCTTCAGTTAAGGTGAGGGGCTTTCTGTCTCTTACCCATTCCTGTGCCTCTGGTGACAGTCCGTTAAAAAATTGCTCCAGCAGGATGAGTTGGCGCAGTCCCTCCATGGTGGTGGCTTGGCTCGCCTGAATCCACCCTTGCGACGCTTGGTCGAGCTTATGTGCCCACTCAGCATGGGAATCTTTCTCCGGCTTCCTCAATCCCCGAAATTTACGCCGGTATGCCTCCGGGATTATGGCATACCTCTCCAGAATTGCCCTCTTAACTTTAAAATAGTCCTTGCTATCCTCTCTGGGTACAGCGCGATACGCCTCTGCTGCTCGGCCTGCCAACTTGCCTGCTAGTAAGGGTACCCACATAGCCTGTTCCAGATCGTGTAGGTCGCACATCCGCTCAAAATCCTGCAGGTATCCGTCAATCTCATCCTTCTCCTCGCAGAATGCTTTAAATGCCTGGTATGGTATTTTCTGCTTTACTGGAGTGCCGAATGAGTTGGCGATGGATTCTGCCCTGGATGGTGACCTCTGGTGCTGCTGTGCCATAATGTAGTCCTGGACGTCTGCCATCAGCACGGTTAAGATGTCCAGGGTTACTGGCTGTGGTACAAATTCCAGCCGGGTTCTCAGTTCCCTCTGGTATGGTGTTTCCTCTCTGGCAGGTGGGGGTGGACTGCTGTGTGCTTGGTCGCCCTCCATCAGCTCTGCAATCAGTACTGCTTTCGATTTGTTGCTAGCGCTTTTCCCTCTAGCCTCCAGCAGCTCCTTTAGCGTCTGTCTCTTTAACGCCGTGTAATCAGTCCCCATTCACTGATCGCTTTCGTCTGTTTGTTGCATACGAATTGCCTTTTCCCTTTTTCCGTTCGGTTGTTCCTTTCATTCGAATGCGCTGTATTCGGCTGTAGAGTTGGATCCCGTCGCTTGCCACCAATTGTAGCGGAACGCCAATAATAAATCCACGAATTCCGCTGGTTCAGAAACGAATCCACAGTCAAGCGCTGAAACAACAAGGCAATATCCCCAACCTCCCAATAACCGGACGAGACACAGTTTTGGGAGTCAACTGAAATCCTTTTAATCGGCAAGACAATTTATACAAGTCCCCATGCAAGGGGTTTCCTGAGTCCCTCCCCAGGGGCACTCCCAGAGGGGACTACATGGGGGACTTACATGACAACATATTTCTCCCATCAGGCACCGCTGCACGAGAGGGATCATCCTCCCAGAATGCACCGTTAAGGGGATTATCCCCTCGTGCAGCAGAACCGGCAATTCACATAAAAATCCATAACTGGTTAAATACACGGTGGATTTACACGAATGGACGTTCGGTAGATAGCTGGGGTCTGAGCGCATCATTCGTGAGATTACCGCTCAGATCCCAGCTAAAATAACCGAACGCCGCACAGAAAACACATTTCTTATAAAACATACGAAAAGGACCGATTACTTCTAGTGAACACGATCCTGAAACTCCCGAACGTCCTGGAGGCTCAGCGGTGTTCGTGCCGTCGAATAGCTATTGGTAATACTATGCGTTCGACAACTCGGTCCCGCTGAGAACAAAGGATCCAAGATGGCCGACCGCCGCATGGTCGGTAGTCGAACGACGGCCACCCAGGAGAGCCTCTAATAACTGATTGCAACAATGTTGCAATCGGTTAACTAGCGCCACACGCCTCTAAGTGTGTGGGCTATTAGGGGGTATCGCGTTCGGTTCACGAACGGCTTTCTAAAGTGCCGTTCGTGAAACGAAAGAAAATCCCCATACAAAACCGCCATTTGCATTCGGCGGAAACAGCAGTACAGGCAATACAGAAAATACATTGGCATATACATAAGTGTAAAGCGCATATCTCGCCAGACTTATTGGCAACCCTTAAAGGCACAGTCTCTAGTTATAGTCCAAGTGGCTAGGTTTGCCACAGGGGCCGTGTAGGGGAGTTCCACGGTCACACAGGAGGGGGGGACAGGACAAACTATTGCACACGTTCATGCAACAAACAGGTCTGGTAGACATTTGGAGGGCTCAGCATACAGATGATGTCGACTTTACGTTTTATTCGTCGCCTCACGATACGTATTCTAGAATAGACCTCTTTCTGGTAAACTCACTAGCTATTCCCAAGGTACAGTGGGTTCCATAACGTGGACGGATCACGCTGATATCTCACTTACATTGGATAAACTGAACATGGCGTCCCCTTGGTCCTGGAAGCTGAACAGATCCTTACTTCAAGACCCAGGAATTGTCGACATCGTTCGTAAAGAACTCAAGGATTATTTCACCAGAGAAGCGGAGTCAGGGGTCTCGAAAGCCACGGTGTGGGCTGCTCATAAGACTGTTATTAGGGGTATTCTGATTAGGGAAGCGACACTGAAGAAAAGACGGAAGTCTCAACTATTAACGTCATTGTTGGAAGCTTTAAGAACAGCAGAACAACGGCATAAATCAGATCCTACACCTAGTAACCTAACGGCGGTGCAGGAAGTACGGCACTCGATTAGGGAAACGCTTCTAGACGATACCGCGAGGGCTATCGTATGGTCTAAAAGCAACTACTATGAAAAGGCGAACAAGGTGGACACTTTGTTGGCGAGATCCCTTCGGCCGCGGCAACGGGGCACTCACATCACAAGGATCAAAAATGCAGCGGGAGAGTATCAGACGAACCCCACAGAGATAGCCAAAGTGTTTACGGAATTTTTCGCTAAGCTCTATAATCACACTGCAGAGGACACCGCAGACACAGGTCGGGCATTGGATAGGATACGGGCTTTCCTCTCTCGATCACATCTTCATAAGTTGGATGTGGACGCCTCGGCGGCCTTGGGGAATCCTATTACAGCCGACGAAATAGGTGCTGCAATCTCCGCCTTGAAAAGCAATAAAGCGCCGGGACCGGATGGCTTTGATGGTAGCTACTATAAAACCTTTCGAGAGGAACTTCTGCCCCACTTGGAACCCTGGCTCAATGGCTTGATGGATGGAGGGACGCCTGATAGGGAGATGTCTTTAGCAAATATTGTTCTGTTGCCTAAACCAGGGAAAGATGATTCGGTCCCGGAAAATTTTCGCCCAATATCTCTAATTAATCATGATTCTAAAATTCTAGCTAAAGTTTTGGCAGGCAGATTGAACCCGATCCTTCCAGGTCTGATACATCCGGACCAGGTGGGCTTTGTTCCAGGCAGACAGCTTTTTGAAAACACGAGGCGTAATATTGATATTATAGGGAGACAGGCTGCGAGGGGCACCCCGACATTGCTGTTGTCTCTGGATGCCGAAAAGACATTCGACAGGGTCAAGTGGGATTATTTATTCGAAGTACTACACCACTTCGGTATGCCGGATAGATTTGTAACTACTGTTCAGGCTATGTATTCCAATGTGAGGGCGCAGGTACAGATCTCGGGAGCGCGAATTGCACCGTTTACCTTGAGCAACGGCACGAGACAGGGTTGCCCTCTTTCGCCGCTGCTGTTTGTCCTCTCGCTGGAGCCCCTCTTGCACGCTATACGGGAGGCCCCGGGTATCAAAGGTGTTACAGTGGGAGGCACGCAGTATGTGGTCTCGGGTTTCGCGGATGTATTGCTGACGCTCACTGACCCAAGGGCCTCCATGGCGGCTCTAACTGAGATTCTAACGGTATATGGCGAAGTTGCTGGCTATAAAGTTAATTTAGGCAAATAGAGCGCGATTCCTATAGGTATGTCGGAAGCCGAGGCTTCGTTTATAGAGGAGGCTTACCAAATCCGAATGGAGAGAAAGCAGATCAAATACTTAGGCGTCTGGTTGACGGCAGACCCCTCCCAACTATATCAGCAAAACTATATCCCGCTGATTAGACAGTTAATCAACGATATGGAAAATTGGATTGATAGGCCGATCTCGTGGATCGGAAGGATACATTCAGTGAAAATGAATGTGTTGCCTGGGATACTTTTCTTGTTCCAGGCTCTTCCGGTCCGCGTGACAAAAGCTAACTTGGGGCCGCTTCAACAGACTATAGGCAGGTTTGTCTGGCAGAATAGACGACATAGAATATCTCGCAACGTCCTATACAGAGCTAAGGATAGGGGTGGCCTGGGCCTCCCGAACCTTTACTATTATTACGCAGCGGCCCAGTTGGCTCAAATAGCTTTGTGGCACTCTCCCCCGGGGGAAAGGAGGTGGGTGGATTTGGAATCCTCTATGATGGGCCAGGACTTGCCCCAATTCCTTATTTGGACCCCTAAAGAACAAAGACCTATTGATCAAGTGATGTGCCCAGCGATACACAGTTCCCTTGGGATCTGGGACGCTGCTGCCGTCAAATATGGACTGACCTCTGCCCTATCGCCCATGTCCCCTTTCTTAAGAAACAAGGCATTTCAGCCGGGCTTGTATCCCCGAGATTTCAAGGGTATTGAGAACACGGGTTTGCAAAGACTATGCGAATTGTTTGAGAATGGCTCCTTTATCACATTTGATGCGTTACGTAGCAGAGCTCCGCTACGTCCCTGTGACTATTTTCGGTATCTCCAGCTCAGGGATTTTGCCAGGGATCCCCGGTTCAAAGCAGCAGCACTGACTCCATTGACTTTCTTCGAAAAGATGTGCAAGGGGGAACAGTTCCCGCCAGGCCTCATTTCTTGTTTGTACTCTCATTTGAGCTCACACACTCTGGAATGGGGGGATCTCGTGTATACGGACCAGTGGGAGACTGACCTCAATGAGGTGTTGGAGGGTATAGAATGGCAAGATATATGGGAGGCGGCTGCAAAGTCTTCGGTGTGCGTTTCCTTGCAGGAACAGTCTTACAAGACAATGTTTAGGTGGTATGCCACCCCAGTGAAACTGTGCCGAATGGGTGTAAACCCATCAGACCTATGCTGGAGGGGCTGTGGTCTAAGGGGTACTTATATGCACATGTGGTGGGATTGCGTAGAGGCACAAACCTTTTGGAAACGGATTGCGGCTTTGCAGTGAGAAGTTTTTGGCAGAGAGGTAAAATTAGACCCATGGGTGTACCTACTATCTAGATCCATGGATGGCTGGACAAAAACGGAACAAGCACTCGTTCACAAAATAAACCTGGCTGCTAGAAGAGCGCTGGCGCAGGTATGGCTGCAGAGTAGATCACCTACCATTGCGATGATCAAACAGAAAATTAAAGATACTTTCCTGATGGATAAGCTAACGGCTCAGGTCAGAGGGATCCAGAAGAAATTTGATAAAATCTGGGACCCCTTGTTAAATAGCACTGCGAACGCCTGAGTCGGGAAGGGAGATTTAGGGTCCCCACTTGAGTTTATAAGGTAATATATGAAGGGCGGCGGGTTATAGGTCCTTGAGCTGGCCACAGGGAAAGCTAACGTTGCCTCCTGAGAGGGACAGTGGAGGCAAAATTGAAAACTTTTTCAGTCATCTTTTTATTGGGCACTATTTCTCGGCCTCACCCCCCCCACCTCCCCCTTTTCTACCCCTTTGTTCTCTTTCTCTAAGTCCTCGGACTCTCGAGGCACCTTACACTCTTTCTTTCTTATTCACTGCTAAAATCTTTAAATCTTTATTTTATTTTTTTATTTTTTTGGCCACGATCGCACATGTGGGCAATACATAGGGAATACCGGAAAGGTGTGGGGAAAGGCTATGCTTCTTACACAGTGTATGGGTGTTTTCTCCCTATTATTCTCTTTGCTTTATTAACGCGGTCTTTCTGTAATGTCTGTTATCAGTTTACTGTTTTATATATTGTAAAAAACCCAGGCGGGATATCCAAGCTTACTTTGGACTGCGGTCTACTATGGAGATCGGAAACATGCTGATACTTAGTGATCTCTGATGGCAGGATTTGGGTGACCTTGATTGTTAATTCATTTTGCGGATGTAAAGTGCTATAATCTCAGTGTATGTGCTTATTTATGCTGATCGACGAGTTGATGTATGTGAACTGCTTGTGATGTCTTGTACTGGAATAAATAAAGAATTAAAAAAATAAAAATAATTAAGAAATAGTTACATAATTAATTTGACCTCAACAAGTCTTAAACACTATTCTATCAGTACAAGAAAAGAGAGAACAAATATGGAATGCATGGGTGGTTTCACGAGCAGCCACCACCACCAAGTGACATGATAAGATGCTTACCATCAAACAACATACTTCGGAATGTGGAAAGTCACACACGTCATTTGGAGAAATGCAACATATACAGTACTCATGAGGAAACCGCATTCTTATGGTAAGAATATATTTCAATCTTTACGGTTGCTGGTGATTTTACCAGCATAATGTATAGATTAAATCTATACATAACTGAAGTGAACTTGTCATCCACAGGATTTGTAAGTGGCACATTGAGGAAATAGCACTTCAAGTGGCATTTTTGGCAGTGTAGTGTACATGTGTTTGTTCCTGACCCTATAGTGTCATTAATCTTAATTATGTATACACACAAATGCTCTATCAAAATAATCCCCCTCTGCATTGTATTGTAGCAAACACAACATGCATTATAACTGTGAAGAGCACTGTGTACATCAAGTGGCACTCGAGTCAGCCTAACTATAATTACAGGACTCTCTGTGCTCGTTGTCTTCTTGTTAAATAGCATCAGAAATGGGGCGCAAGAGTGCTTCATCCAACATTTAAAGTGAAATTAAATTAGTCACCATGGATTGTGTTTGTAGGCATTGCAAGTACAGGAAAGCTTTAAAAGTACCAGAACATGTGAATTTAATGTTTTGTCAAGTAGTGGAACATGCATGGGGGAGGCAGAAAGATATACAGGATCAGGTAGAACAGTGAACAGCAAATACAGGGTGAATACAGGATCAAGTAGGGTGACATGGGAGAGTCAAGCAGAAACATATGCTGGAGAGGTGGATTAAATGCTGGACAAGCAGAGAAAACTAGAAGGATGAAAAAGGGAGAGATGCAGGACCTGTCAAAGTACTGCTGCAGTATAAGGTGGAAAGAGAAGCTGAGCAAAGCAGAATAGCACAGGAGGATGAGATGCTGGATAAAAGTGACAAGTCATTTCAAAGTAACATTAAGGACCCACTGTCACAGGCAGTGCTGTATCCTGTGCACTTGAACTGATCCTGTTGCAGAGATGCCGGCTGACAGGTATTACCGTATTGGTTACATTGACACAAGCGAAGCAGATTACTATCTTCTACCGGCGAGTACACCGTATTGTACTAATGTTTTATCTGTGACACTTAGAAATAAGTTTCACAATATTTTCCTGTAAGAGTTTTTATGTAGGGGGGTTTCTTTATGCTTGGCAAATAAATTGTTACTTTTTTACGCTATGTTAGTTCACCTGTATGTAGTGTTTTGAGAGTCTGTTTCCGTATGTATGTAGTGTTTGTATGCGTGTGTCATTATTTGTATCAGTGTGTGTATCTGTGTGCCTGTATCTGTATTTATGTGTCAGTGTTTGTATTGGGTATCAGCATTTTTCTTATCTGTCTGTACATCTGTGTGTGTATCTGTCTGTACATCTGTATGTGTGTCAGTGTGTGTATCTGTCTGTACATCTGTATGTCTATCAGTGTGTCTGTTAGTGTATGTGTGTATCTGTGTCTGTCTATCTGAATGTGTATCAGTTTGTGTATATTTGTATCTGCATGTGTGTCAGTGTGTGTATCTTTGTGTATGTGTATCACAGTGTGTGTGTGTGTGTGCGTGCATATGTGCATATATCTTAGCATTGAAAACACCAACACTACACACAAACACACCCCTGCATGCAAACGTCAACACTACATACAAACACACCTCTGTATTAGACACCAAAATTATATCGAAGCACACATCTGCATTCAAAAACCAACACTACACATAAATGCATGCTTGCATTTAAACGCAAACACTACATACAAACACACCCCTACATTCACTCAAACATATTCCATACAAAAACCTGCTTACGTTCAAACACACAAATACTGCTCAGTGCTAAATACAATTGGTAGAGCCCCAGCTTTCAAAGCATTGTTGAAGTTCCACGACAGATGGGGATCTCTCTTTTAGCCACCTTGTGCATACACAGACAGACATACAGTCTGTAAGATGGTCTGTGGATGTATGTCTCTGTATGCCTTGTCTGTATGTCTCTGTATGACTTTCTGCATATGCATGCCTCCGTATCACTGTTTATGTATGTCTCTATATACCTATCTCTGTCTCTTTATGTCTGTGTCTGTATTTCTCTGTGTGCATGTGTCTGTATGAATGTATGTCTGTGTTTATATGGCAATGTACCTGTATGTGTAGATTGTATGACCGTGTTTGTTTGATTGTGTGCCTTTTATGACTGTGTGTCTGAATAACTATGTCTGTGTACTTGAATGGTTGTGTATCTGTATGTTTGTGTATTTATGTATTTTTGCCTGTATCTATGTCTATATGGGAAAGATAGAGAGATAGGGGCTGGGGGGAGGGGAGAGGGAAGAGAGATAGGGGCTGGGGGGGAAGAAAGAGACACAAAGGGGCTGGGGGGAGTAGGAAATACATAAGAGGGGTTGTAAGAGACACACTAAAGAGTGCGTGAGCACTCTAGACAATCTTCCAACTCAGGGTAGATGTTCTTACCTATTTATTCACAAAAAGCACAAAGGGTAAGACATTCAAGAGAGGGGATATGAAACACTAATGGAAATTCAACACGGGGCTACAAGACACGGAGGTGAAGATGCATTTTTTGGGGGATGGGGGCGGCAACATGCATCTTCGCCTGTGTAGTCAAAAATCCTTGCACCGGCCGTGTCTGTACATCTATGTGTTTGTCAGGGTGTGTATCTGTCTGAACCTCTGTATGTGTATCTGTCTGTGTGTTAGTCTTTATATCTGTATGTGTGTGTATAAGTGTGTCTGTACATCTGTATGTGTGTCAGTCTGTGTATCTGACTGCACGCTTGTATGTGTCAGTATGTGAATCTGTGCCAGGGTTTGTATATGTGTATCTGCATGTGTGTGTGTGTCTATCAGTGTGTCTGTGCAAATGTATGTGTGCCAATGTTTACATCTGTGTGTCTGTGTATCGGCATGTGTGTGTCTGTCTATACATCTGTATGCGTGTCAGTGTGTATCGTTCTCTACATTTGTATGTGTCAGTATGTGTATCTGTGTGCCTATATCTGTATGTCTGTCACTGTTTGCATCTGTGTATCAGCATGTATGTCAGTGAGTGTATCTGTCTGTACATCTGTATGTGTGTATCTGTCTGTAGGTGTTTGTATCTGTGTCAGTGTTTGTATCAGTGTGTCTGTGCTTCTGGATGTGTGTCAGTGTTTGTATCTACGTGTGTCTGTATTAGTATGTATCATTGTTTGTATCTGTGTGTCTGAACATCTGTATGTATGTCAGTGTTTGTATTTGTGTGCCTGCATCTGCATGTGTATCAGTGTTTGTTTTTGTGTTGGTGTTTGTATCTGTGTCTTTGTGTGTCTGTATGTATATCATTGTTTGTATATGTGTCTCTGCATCCGCATGCATGTCAGTGTCTTTATCTGTATGTGCGTCAGTGTTTGTATCTGTGTATCTGCAGGTATGTCAGTGTAGGACTGCATATCTATCTGGGGGAGAATGTGGCCTAGACAGAAAGGGGTGGGGCACATTTAGATAAGGGGCGTGCCCGAATTTCGGCATGCCTAGGGCAGCACAAATCCAAAATACACCACTGATCACAGGAACGAAAATGTTCTTATCTGCTTGAACTAAACATGCTATGGCAAATACATGAAAGAGTAAATAAAGCACAGCTCTAAATTTACACACGTTTATTTAGCACAAACAACAGACAACGCACTTAATGACAGTTTTTTCAGAATATAATGCTGTGCGTGAGCACTCTAGACAATCTTCCAACTCAGGGTAGATGTTCTTACCTATTTATTCAGGGTTAGATGAGCAATATAAGAATATAAGAATAGTAAAACCATAAATGAGATGTCTACGAACATGTACTTGTTTAATGCTTTCAATGTGCTGTCCACGCACAACATAAGTATTACCCATTTTATCTTCCTGGTCGATTGCAATCTCTGCACTGTGTCACAGGGTTTGGTCACTAAACTCTGAATTGTAGTAATTTAAAATCAGAATTGTAAATTAAGGCTAAATTAGTTTATCCAGAAAACCTCTCCATCTCAACTATGGTCACAACTCTTCTTTTTCATGCAGATTTAAATTTGCTATAATTCTGAATTTGGTGAATTCCTAAAGATCAGATAAATATACATCACATATATTAATGAAATATATTGGCATGTCTTTTTCTACATGCTCATATGGTTCCAAAATAATGTGAAAAGGACTGTGGGAAAAAAAGAAAAAAAAGAATAGCAGTTAAAAATTAAATGCATGTGTGGTGTTTTCCCACAAGAAAGAAAATGGCATTAGAAATACAGTTGCACAAATGGGAGTTATTGAAAAGTACTGCACATTTGCAACAATATAGTAAGTACATATGCAGTACTTTGTCATCTATTCTTCGTAATAGGAATACATATATATATTCTTCAAATACCTGTATGTTAAAGCATTATATCGGCAAGTTGTTCACACCCCAGTCTTTATCAATATCACAATGAAAGGTTTATGAACTACTGACCTATATAACACATTAAAAAAAAAAAATCTTATAAAATCGTGCCTGGAGTGTCCCTTTAAGCCCCTTTTTATCAGTTAATTGAAAACCATTTTATCAACTGTAGCATGTCAAAAACAATATTTGCCAGAAATCAAAATAGCGTAGTTTTTTTTTTTTTACAGTGCTCATTACAGTATTAACAAGATATTCTATAGGCCTAAATGTGATTTTTTTCTTCTTTAGGACTGTATTTTCCTTTGCTGCTTATTAGAATTGGACAACCTGGTTAGACAAATAAATTCTAGCAAAAACAATTTAAGTTTTAAAGATAGTGTGTAGTTTTCAATTCCATCATTCTGTTTTACCTATAGGGTGACCACAGGGGAAATGAAAGTGTTTTGCAATTTTTTTAGACCGCTTTTCCATGCATCTCAAATTTGCTTCATCAATATCTTAAGCGAACATTCCAAGGCAAAATCACCACAGTTTTGGAGGCTCCTCTGCCACCCTGCTCTTAAATAGCGTGATTTCATCCAAATGCATCAGGGGTACATCTCGGATCACATCTGCCAAGCTTTCATGCAACAGAGGAAAGATGACAACATTCAGTGCTGGTCGCTCTGGCTGAAAACTGGGAACAAAAGAGGAGAGTCATGGTACTTTGCCAACCTAATGAACATCACTATTATTTAGATTTTTAGTTTGTTTGTGTTTTCTGCCCAGTAAAATACAGAAATCTGTATTAATTGGAACGCCGAGTGATCAGCTACTTTTCCAATATTTCATGAAGTGATCCGTTGCAAACAGCAAATATGAAACATTCCACTCAGCTTAATGTAGTGGTTCAGATGCAAAGAGACTGTCTTTGCAATCCCTGTGCTATAAACACTGTATTTTCTCAGAATAGGCAGGATTTACTTAAGAGTGCCACCAGTAGCTGTCATCTTTAATGGTCCTGCAATCATGCTCTGCATTAAGACGTATAAAGCTCCCCACATGTATGAAATAAGATAATGCATTTCTGTTTCTATGCTGCTTGGACCAGTTCTGTTTGCTTCCAGGACCTTAAATTTGGAATACAGATTATCTACTGTTGTCTGTGGATTTTTATAACTCTAAATAGGATATCAGCACAGGCTTGCATTACTAATATTTCAGTGCTCCTATATAACAAAATTTCATTAACAAAAAAAAACCCCAAAAAACTTTAAAAAAAACACAACACTAAACGGTTTGCCCTAAATAACCTTTTTTTTAAATTTGCAATGATATCTGTTACTAAACCTTTATTTTAAAGGGATACATAAAACTAGTGCTGAAACCCCCTTTTTAATTTTGGTAAATGGTATTTATTGAAGATTTTTTTTATAAACCATTTTAAAGAAACATAACTCAAATATTATATGCTGCAATATGACTGCTGTGTTATGAACAACAAGGGTAATAGGACAATAAATTGAAGAAATGGAACAGTACGGTTGCAGTAAGGTATTGAATTTTGATTTGGGGACAGTAAATATGGAACATGATAGCTATTGAGTAGCAATGTTTTAAAGTAGAGGACTCTGTATAAATGTTTAGGAGTAAAGAAAAGGCAAAATGTCATGTATTGAAAAACTTCTTATATATAATTTATATTATATTTATGAATTATTATTCTGAAAAAGATTGCTAACACATTGTTTTCTCATTTATGTGCCATCTATGCATACAGCATGAAAGAGAAGTTTATAGATTACTTTTCAACAAAGCAGATTCTGTATGTGTATTTTTTGTAAAAAAATTTTAAACACACTTTGTTTTGACAGATACATCAATGGCACCAAATCAAAAGAGGTAAGCCATGATACAACGCTAACCTGTACAAGCATTGAGGAAGTGAAACTATCTCATTATCACTTTCTAAGCAGTGGCTATGGGATTTGGGTGCACAAATCCATTGAGGCACCGCATCATAGCCACAACAAGTAGTAGTGGTTATGGTGCACTGAGTGCCCCATTAATGCAGCCTCAGCTTTTCTTATAATGTGTCTCTAATAAAACAGATACCAAATGATTATCTCACAGTTTAATAGCATGGACACTTTAAAGTAGCCATCTAAGCATGACAACTACTGAGTGGCCATGGTCACTGGCGTACATAGCGCGGTCTCGGGGGTCGAAGCTGCGACCGGGCCTGGCCCTCCAGGACCAGCCGCCCAGCAGCCCCACTGGACCCCAGGGAAATCTAGAATCCTCTCAGCACTCCCAAAGGTAGGGAGGCTAGGGGATTAAAATAAAAAAAAATAAAAAAAAATGTGAGTGTGTATGTGTGTGTCAGTGAGTCTGTTACGGTGTGTGTCTGTTACTGAGTGTGTTAGTTTGTGTCTGTCTGCTAGTGAGTGTCAGTTAGTGTGTTAGTTTGTGTGTGTGTTGAGTGTCAGAGTGTGTGTGTGTCAGTGAGTGTGTTACTGTGTGTGTCTGCTACTGAGTGTTAGTTTGTGTGTGTCTGTTTGGTGTCTGTCAGTGAGAGTGTATGTATGTCTGTCACTGAGTGTGTGTCTGTTAGCTAGTGTGTATGTGTGTTTGGTTAAAACCCCTTCAGCACTTACCTTACTCCAGCGCCGGGCTCCTTTGGTGCTGGGGATCTCTCCGCCCCGATCCACCTCTCAACTCCGAATGCGCATGTGCGACAAGAGCCGCGCGCGCATTCAAACCATCCATAAGAAAGCATTACTCAATGCATTCCTATGGACGTCCAGCGTCTTCTCACTGTGATTTTCACAGTGAGAATCGCGAAAGCGCCTCAAGCGGCTGTCAGTGAGACAGCTACAAGAGGCTGAATTAACCCTCAGCAAAACATTGCAGTTTCTCTGAAACTGCTATGTTTTCAGCTGCAGGGTTAAAACTAGAGGGACCTGGCACCCAGACCACTTCATTGAACTGAAGTGATCTGAGTGCCTATAGTGGTCCTTTAAGTGTATGTGTATCTGCATGCACTGGCGTACATACCGCGGTCGCATGTGTAGCAGCCCCGCCCCACGCAGAGTAAGCGCCGGGGTGGGGGAGGGGGGGCATGGATCAATTTTCGCACCGGGGCTCCATGGATCGTGTGTACGCCACTGGCCATGTTGATATGAGTCATTGGGTGTCTTCCAATGGTTTTCGGTCTTCCCATGAGACAGGAAAACTCAGTGATCTCAGCCTGTTATTGCTGTACAAAGTTAAATGTCTATGGACATTTAATGCAGAAGTGTAACTTTAACATAATTAAAGTGGTACAAGAGGTGCTGGAACGGCTCACTCAAAGTTTAGCAGAAAACCAGGTGAATCCACACCAAGGCTCATCATAAACACTAAAACAAGCTACACTGATCATGATCACTATATCAAATATATTTGATCCTGAACATACCGTTGTATAATGCTTTGCTGCAGGCTCCTACATGCTGTCAGAGTCTCACCAGTGAACATGTGGCACATGATAAGTTCAAGGCAATCACTGACAAATGACATCACTGCATCCGCTTCAAACCTTCCATTCCGAGAAACAATGCACACACGCTGCAGGGATGAACAGTGTCGTAAAGCCTGGAAGAACTGGCTGTTGGCTGAAAAATATGGCTGCTCGAGCCTGTCAAACACAAACCAAAAGAAACATGGGCATGCCATATAACATCTAACTTTACTGAGACAGTAATGTCATGTAAAAAGAAACACAGGTAGGCACTAACAGGGCAATGCAGAAGTAGAGGTAATTTCAATGAAATGAGAAAATGTGAACAATATAATTTGAGTTTAGTACAAGCAACCCTCAAATGGCCAGAATATTATATGCCATGATAAGGTGTGATTCTATGATTGTTATCTCTGTGTTAGATTAAATGATAAGACAGTCAGCAGACTATTTCATAAACTCTATTTGTAGAATATTAATGCAACAAAACCACTTTGTCAAATGGAAATGTTTATGGCACTGTTTACACTGCAAGTTCCTAGGGTCTGTCAGACAGATACGCACTAGGGTCTTCCGACAAAAAATTATTCAATAATTGAATCAATTTAACATCTGGTGTCAGCATGTAAAGTATACTAGAATCAGATGCTGGCTGTTTGTCTACTACGTCTCTACAAAAAACACTAAATTCTTCCCAAAGATAATTACTGGATGCACTGTAGGTCCACAATTCTTCTGAATGGACAAAAGCGATTGTAATTTAACTAAGTGTAAATTGATGGTATGGCTGCTCTCAGTTTACACAGCAGATCCACTTGACCTAAATAACAGTGGGACTGGTCATAGGAAAAACTACTTATCCTATAAACTACTCCTGGGTACGTGGTTTATGGAATCAAAAGCCCTTCAGATAGAATGGAGTCTGCTTATGGAAAACCAAACAGTGCTGCACGCGTAACTTTAAATGTGTGCCTCGTGAAAAGACATTTTTTTGCATTTCTTTTTAATACATTATATAAATATGGAATGGGTGTAAATTTTACTTAGTTGTTGTGATTTAAATGTTATTGAATCCAGGAGAATACTGAAGAAGAAATGGGAAATTCATTAATGCTGGACTATTGGTAAGCCTTAATGATTGTGTTGGGAACCACTACTTTAGAGAGCACTATCCTTTGTTACCACCTAGACATAAACTCTACCAGAAAGGGCTAAAATATAATGAATGAGAACTGGGCCAGAGGATACTTTATACACAGTTTCAATCTCTTACCTAAGGTCCCTCAGATGTCTGCAGTGTTTCAACATCTCACACAGTGAGGATATATAAACCACCTTCCCCATCATCCCAAGATTTGCCAATGATAGTGAGTGCAGCTGCTGACACTTCATACCAATGCTCACGAGACTGGAGCCTAGGAGAATGCCAGGCAACTGTGCCAGTGTTAAACTCTGCAAAAAAACTACTTGGCTGACTGCAGCCAACTCAGCATCTCCCACACTATGAGAACGCTTACAAGGTGGGTATGTGTTGCGTATTGCTGGATCATTTCTAGGCATTACTGAGTAAAAGTTGGAACCAATTAATTCCAAGTGTTCTAGAAGTGACAACTGTTTTAGAAGTCTCCAGAAAACAGAGGTTGGGGCATTGTCTTGGTCATTTTGGGTTCGTGGATATGTCTGAACTCCAATCCGGACCTTCTTCCCAAACCCAAGTGGAGCAGGGTTAGAAGAATATGATGCACCTGGAGAATTAGACTTTTCTGTAGTTGTAACTGTATCGGCAATGGAACACACAGGTAATGAAAGTGACCGTAAGTGCTGAAGCTTTGCAAGAATCTCACATAGGTGTTTCCCTTTGCTTTCTGAGCTATGGTGGTGTGCAGACGAGAAATTCAAATGTGTAAGATTTGGGCAGGCAGTTATTAGAGTCTTCAATATAGTAATATCTATATCATCTTCTGGCTTACGCAGGGGAATGTCACTGCTGAAGAAAAAAGGACAGCCTCGCACATTTAGACTGACCAAGCTCTTACAATCCTTACCACCGTTTATAATCCTTTGGGTTAGCTGCCCTCCAGATATCATGCAGCGGCTAAAACTGAAGTAGGAAGGGTTGCTGAAATTCATTTGCTGAAGCAATGAGGTCCCATTCAGCCAAGACTTTGGCAACTGAAATGCTTCCAATGCCACATTCTTTGCCATAGAATGTAGAAGGTTTATGGTTGCTCGACTTTCTGGTAAGATGCCTGGAACAGAAATAAGAAAAGCTCGTAAGTTTTCAGGAGTTCTATCACTTAGGACAGCCAGATACAATCTGACCACCTCCTCATTTATATACCCTGGGGCAAGTCGAGCATAGAAAAGACGCAGGTTTTGATAATGAGGAATGTTGCTTTCTCCCACCATTAGTTGACCAGACATCAACATCCCTTCACGTGTCCGATCCAGTACTTCAAAAAATAGTAGCAGTTTTTCAAGGCTAGTACAGCAGGGCACGACTCCATAGGAGGGAGAAAAGATAGTCTGTTTCAGTTCACGTAGTCGACTTAATGTTGCTTTGCACTCACTACTCAGCTGTCCAGCGTCAAATCCTGAACTAACATCAATGGCTAAAGAACGTAGGTTTACAAGGTTAGAGAGAAGATGTGATAACCTTAGGGACGTTAAAGAGCATCCAGACATATCAAGCCTTACAAGTCTCCTGCATCGTGTTATAAGGTCCACAGTAGGGGAGGATAACCAGTAGCAGCCACTTATGTCCAGTTCACATATCTCCTTGCCAATCTCTTTGAGCATCTGTTTCACCTCCTCATCCTTAACCTGAATATGCAGTAAGGAAACACGGAGTAAGTTATGAATTAAGGGAAGAGACCTCAATGTGATGAGGTTCTGGACAAATACAATTCTAACCAACTACTTAAATCTTTACGAATACCAACCTGGTAAACTTTATGGAGATTTACTTTCTGGGTCAGACTCTTATCAAGACAAAGACCTGCAAATTTGCGACATGTCTTCTTGACGTTAAGGATGAGATCTGTACTTGGGACATAACTCAGGATGTGCAAAAGAATCTCATCTGAAAGCTCAGTGGGGTTAATTGTGAAGAACCTCTCTGTTTCACCCCCACTCTGCACCTGTATGAAAAGATCACACATATTTAGTAGACTCTTACGACAGTACCAGAGTGGCACCTACAAAATTAGAGAGAGACAAAAAAAAAAAAAACGGTTTCTATGGAATGCATAGCTAATGCTAGAGTTCTGGCAAGGTCTAGTCACAAAGGGGTATTCTATCTTAACAAGCCAGAACCACCAATTTGGCAATAATGATTTCCAGTTAGCACAATAAAGTGATAGAGGACACTAACAGTTGTAAAATGAGAATTGCTTGGAAATCATAGTGAATTTAAAATTGTAGGCCAAAACAGCCAAACTGAAGAGAGAACCGATTTGGAGAATTTCACTAATTCAGATATAATGCCCTGAATCATTAAATTCGCAATAAATTCTAAGCAATTCTCCCTTTAGTGAAAAACCCTGTTATTCATAAAAATAATAATAAAAAAAAAAAGTTTAAAAGGGGAACGACTACAGCCTGATAGCTTAGATGTAGCACATAAACACTAAACATACATGACTCTACCTAAGGTACTAAATTGTATATTAGAATATTTTCTATGAATTCAAATGTATAAAAAAAAAAAAAAAATTAAAAAAAAATACCAAGTGGAATTCTCTTGAAAAGTAGCAGTACAGCGTGAAAGAAACAGAAAATGTTAAATAAATTAAAAGATGGATGCACAATCTCTTAAAACCTGTTCTCTCATCCATTTTCAAACATGAATATAGCCTGTATCAACTTATAGATATGTTTTAATATTAATATTCTGGTTTAGTTTACAGTACTAGAATTAAGGACCTCTATCCTTTTCTAAACTGAAGTCTTGTAAAAGAAGAAACAAAACGTATAGTTTAATTCCATTAGTACTCAAAGTAAAGTCATTTTATTGCTCTAGTAACATAATATTTTTCAGTAGTTAATAACACTTTTCCGAAAGTAGATTCCCTCTTGGTAACATAAGAAAAGTTGAATACACCATTCAGCATTCAGTGAGAATGAACAAAATTATGTGTCAATTAATACTTTTTAATATGGAAACAATTTATACTGTATGTGACATAAGCTTGCTACTAAATAGATTTTTAAATATCTTTGTTAAAAACAAAAAATGGCTTTGGGAACCCAATAAATAAAAATTGTCTGTCTCCAAACCTGGTGCAAACTACATATTTTCCTATAGAAGTACAGGCCCATCCAGTGACAAAACTCACCTCTGCAGTGCAGTTTGACATATCCTGAGTGAGAGGGGGATCAGCTGGAGACAGAAACACTGGACACCATCCTCTGCAGCACAGCAGCTATCTAGACAGCTTGCAATGTCTCCTACTTCCACCCATACAGCATTCCCAACCCAGCAGCTCAGATTTCCTCCTACATAATCCCCCTCACTATCCTACTTACACACAACATACCGAACTCAAATTGGCGGCGGGTACACTTCCGGCGCCGGCTAGAACAGACATCCTGTCCTTCTCACGTCTCTTCCCCGGCGCCATGTTGGTGCAGGCAGTCCCTCCTCCAACATCATAATGCATAGATTTTACGTTGCTGCCTTAATACAGCATGATGCTTGCAGTTTAACAAAGATAGCTGATAGGTCGTTCCTGTTAGGAAGGGCCTAAGTAATGTATTTACGCATTTGTTTTATGCATAGGAGCAAAACAGGCAGTGAACTCTTAACAAGAATCAACAAAACCATTGGAAAACATAATGATAAGATATTGAATAGACAAGGAAAGCTGAATGGAGAAAAAAGCTATTGTAAGATATTGTCATTTCCAGTTGCTACACACAAACACCTCCAAAGTTTCCTTATTTAGGAGAGAGAGTCCCTTTTTTGGACCCAAATCCCTCTTTTCTGTACTAATGTCCCTGTTTTCTAGGAGCTCCATACTGTTTGTATGTCTGTAACAGAGCTCCACAGCAATAATACTCCCAGTAATGTGTCTTCATACTACAGTAAATGTGTTTAGAAATCAATTTCTGTAATTAAGATATGTTGTGCTTGTTCTAAATTACATTTTATTTGCAAACAATGTTATTCATAACCATCTAAAATGTCTTAAAACAGCCCTGGCCACACCCCTAAAATTAAAGTGTCCCTCTTTGTTCATTTGAAATGCTGCAAGGTATGGCACAGACATACTCAAAGTTATAGTTTTTACTTGATTGCTGAATCACGAATTCCCAACAAGACCCATGTCCAATAAATAAAACAATGATACATACGCCACAACTTTTATTTAGTTCCATAACTATATCATGTGAATTTGAGCATAACCTTAAATCTGTCCTACCACGAAGTAGACAGGTAATTGCAATCCCTGACCATGCTAATCTTTTGCTGCCCTCTTGATAAATTAACTCCCCACCTACCAATTTGTATACAATGTAACAGGCGTCTACTCAATTTAATTACCCCTTCTATGACCCCTAGTTAGCAGTCATGACCCCTTCCATAAAGGTCTGGGATATTCTTTCTTAGCACCAAAATTTGTAGATTTTATTAAAGGACCACTATAGTGCCAGGAAAACATACTCATTTTCCTGGCAGTATATTGCCATGAGGGTGCCCCCACCCTCAGGGTCCCCCTCCCGCCGGGCTCTGGTGAGAGGAAGGGGTTAAAATCTTACCTTTCTCCAGCGCCGGGTGGGGAGCTCTTCTTCTCCTCTCCTCCTTCATAGCGATGGCATCGGCTGAATGCGCATGCGCAGCAGGAGCCGCGCGCGCATTCAGCCAGTTCATAGGAAAGCATTTAAAATGCTTTCCTATGGACGCTGGTGTCTTCTCACTGTGATTTTCACAGTGAGAAGAACGCAAGCGCCTCTAGCTGCTGTCAATAAGACAGCCACTAGAGGCTGGATTAACCCTATTATAAACATAGCAGTTTCTCTGAAACTGTTATGTTTATAAAAAAAATGGTTAACCCCAGCTTGACCTGGCACCCAGACCACTTCATTAAGCCGAAGTGGTCTGGGTGCCTATAGTGGTCCTTTAAGAGGGGCTTAGATTATTCTCAAATACAATCAGAGAAAATTGAGCGCCCATCATGGTAAAGGATCCCAACATGTTGTGTGAGTAACACAAAATTGCACAAAAATGTGCGGTCCCTCCAGGGCAGGCAAGGGGGTATGTGCCCCCTGGGGTCCTAGCATGGGAGGACTAACAAGGGGGTTGGTGTCTGCAGCCTTAACCCCTTAAGGACACATGACAGAAATATTCTGTCATGATTCCATGTTATTCCAGAAGTTGTTTCCTTAAGGGGTTAAAGGACCACTATAGGCACCCAGACTACTTCAGCTCAATGAAGTGGTCTGGGTGCCAGGTCCTTCTAGTTTTAACCCTCACTGACAGCCACTAGAGGTCGCTTCTGCGATTCTCACTGTGAAAATCACAGTGAGAAGACGCTGACGTCCATAGGAAAGCATTGAGTAATGCTTTCCAATGGGCTGTTTGAATGCGCATGCGGCTCTTGCCGCGCATGCGCATTCGGTGCTGACGTCGGCAGGAGGAGGAGAGGTCACCAGCACCGAGGGAGCCCATCACTGGAGGAAGATAAGTGGCTGAAGAGGTTTTAAGCCCTTCATCCCTGAGGGTGGGGGGGGACCTAATGACCCTATAGTGCCAGGAAAACAAACTCGTTTGCCTGGCACTATAGTGGTCCTTTAAACATTTCTTCTAAAAATCAGAATGGTTGGAGATGTGTTGGGATGTCTGCACAGTTCTGAAGCAGCAGGCAGAAATTAATTGGGCTGGTGACTTTTGTTCTCAGTGCTCTCAAGGTCTGGACTGGTCCACCGGGATATTTCCTAGTGAGGCTGAGCAATGATGTTTCTAAAGGCTACTGTGCAGGTCATACTGATGGAAGTTGTAGGATTATTATACATACTGCATGCATCACCTGATTTGGACCACTCACACTTAGATCTGTGAGTTTTATATGCAAAAAAAAAAAAGGGGGCATTAGTTTCTACCTGAACCCAAGTCTAGCACATTCAGTCTCAGGCAGCTCAAGCTAGCATACCCACAATCACTGGCGGATCCAGGGGCGGGGCAACGGGGCAATTGCCCCCGAGAAATCCGCCGGTCTCCCTCTCCCTCCCCTGCCAGGACATGCAGGTGCCAGCCCTTCAATGTGCCTGCGGACCGGAGGGGAGATCAGAGATCTCCCTCCCCGGTCCGCAGGCACTGTGCTGGCGGCAGGGGAGGGAGAGGGAGGACCCGGGAGCTTCGCCCGTGCCTCCGGGAGTTTCTTCCGAGATTTGAAGCGTTGTCGCGGTTACCACGGCAACGCTCCAAATCTCGCGAGAGTGAACTCTAGCCCGGAAGCGCGGGCTAGAGTTCACTGTAACCACTGGGACCACCAGGGAATCACCACTGGGACCACCAGGGATGAAAATATGTCCCCCCTCCTCCTCCATAAAGGTAAGAAGGGAGGGGGGACATAGAATATTTTTTTTTTAATTAAATAAAGATATATATTATTTAAAAAATCCCCCCCTACCCTTAACACACACACAC